GGTCTCCGCCCCCTGCGAACGAACCCGGGCCGAGTGGGCCTAGTTGATTTGGTGGCGAGCATCGTCGGCATGAGGGGGTGCCTTGCCTTTGTCCCGAGGGGGACGCTCCTCGTCTGCCCTCGAGACAGACCCTCCGCTCTCCTGGGGCCTTTGGAGTGCTTTCCCTCCGAGGCGGTCTTGGACCCCTCGGCGGTCCTGCCCTCCTCCGAGCCGGTTGAGGGCGGAAGTGCGGGGCCTTTCTCTGTTGTCATTGTGGCGGTCCCGAGACTGAACTTCCTGGGAGGCCGTATCTTGGGCCACTACCCCTTCGTCATTCCTTACCCGAGGGATGGGGTTTCCGAAGGGGCGTGGCAGAGGGGGAAGTACGATGTTCTCCCCAACCTGGGGTTGAGCCGGAGCCAGGGTGCCGAAGGCACCTGGGTTCTGAGTGAGCGTCTGGATGAAGACGGAGAGCGCTGATTGAACGTCGATGGTGAGAACCGGAGGGCTGACTTGGTCGTCGCTCCGGTTTTTCTTCTTGGCCTCGATGCCGAGGCGGGCATCGGGGGCATTCTGTTGGATCTGAAGGCGTAGGTCGACAGCCGCCTGTTCCAACCCAGCGATGACACCGCCCTCGTGAACCCTGTGAGAGGCTTCAGGGGCGTTGACGTCGCCGAGGGCCAGGTTCTTGTCTTCCACGTTTTTGGAGTTGGCACGTGTAGTTCTCACCATTTTGGTAGAGGGCTAGTTTTTGGCGAAGGGGGAGGGTTTCTTACTCGATTGTTCGACCTCTCAACAAGAGCACCAAATGATGGATAGTGTACCCGGGGGGTATATATCCGAGGGGTTACTGCTGAGAATAACTTAGAGAGAAGTCAGAGCATAAGTAAGTAAGAGAGAGAATGTATTCAGTCTGAATGTCGTGGTTTACAACGGGGAAAAGGGGGTGCTATTTATAGTAGCAATAAATGCCGGATAGGGACACGTGTCAAGCGCCCATTGGCCGAGAGGTCACCTCAACTGGCTGGCGCTGGCATCCGCATGTGGCCGCGTTTAATGCGGCTGTTGGATGAGACGTCTGTGCAGGGTACGGTGATCTGTACGCATGTGACGCGGATCTCATGTCGGGAGAGGTGCCTTCGACTATAGAGCAGTAGCCGAGGGCTCCTCAAACCGAGGGCACCCTGGTGCCGAGGGCTCCTGGTGCCGAGGGCTCCTGGTGCCGAGGGCTCCTGGTGCCGAGGGCTACTGTTCTCGCCGTTTTCTCCCAGTTTCTTAGTTTGCTTGAGAAACCCGTTCTGTGAGATTTTAGAGCCTTCGGCCAGGGGGTCGAAGGCACCCCTGGTGCGCTGTGGGCTGCTTGGTACTCCGGGCGCCATGATTTGGGCCTGTTAGGCCTTCCGGGCCTGTTGGGCCTTTACTGGAGTAGTAGGAGTCTGTGGGCCGGGGGTTCCCGGGCCATATACTCCATCACATCTCTTCCTGGATGGTGACCATCGCCTCTATATGATGGCTGGCTCATCATCGCCCCATCATCATATTATCGGATCGGTTTCTCATCATTGCCATCCAGACACCACGACCGGCCCCTCGGCCTCGGCGTGATTATCTATCTCAAGACCGGCTTCCTCAGCGCCGAGAGTCTTGAGCTAGCGATCGGGCTCACCATCCCTTCCTGGATGGTGACCGTCGCCTTTATATGACGATTGGGCCATCATGGTCTCATCATCATTTATTGGAACGGCTCATCATCGCCGTCATCCTCACATCGCGGCACACCCCTCGGTCTCAACGCGATCTTGAGCTAGCGATTGGGCTCGCCATCCCTTCCTGGATGGTGACCATCGCCTCTATATGACGGCCGGCTCGTCATTGCCCCGTCATCATATTTCGGATTGGCTCCTTTCATCGCCATCCGCGCATCACGACCGGCCCCTCGGCCTCGGCGTGACTATCTATCTCAAGACCGGCTTCCTCAGCACCGAGAGTCTTGAGCTAGCGATCGGGCTCGCCATCCCTTCCTGGATGGTGACCATCGCCCTTATATGACGATCGGTTTCATTCTTGCCTCGTCATCATATTATCGGATCGGCTCATCATCTCCGTCCGCACATCACGACCGATCCCTCGGCCTCGGCGTGATTATCTATCCCCAAGACCGGTCTCAGTCATTCCTTCATCGGATGATGACCGTTGCTTGGACTTTTGGATCTGCCTCATAGTGCTCACGACCTCGCATCACGACGTGATGCCCTATCTCAACATCGACTTCATCAGCGCCGGGTGTGCTGGGCTAGAGATCAGGCTCGCCATCCCCTCCCGAATGGTGACTATCGCCTCTATATGACGATCAGCTCCATCATCGCCTCGTCATCATATTTCGGACCGGCTCCTCATCATTGCCGTCCGCACATCGCGATCAGCCTCTCGGCCTCGACGTGATTATTTATCTCAAGACCGGCTCCCAGCGCCGAAGTCTTGTTATAGCGATTGGGCTCGCCATCCTTTCCCGGACGGCGATCGTCTCCCCTATATGACACACGGCTTATCATCGCCTCGTCCTCACATTTAGACCGGCCCCAGTGCCGAAGTCCTTATCTAGCGAACATGCTCGTCATTCCCTTCCTGGATGGTGACCGTCGCCTTCATATAACGCACGGCTCACCAACGCCATCGTCCCTATATTCGGACCGGCTCCTCAGCGCTGTCATCCTCATATTTGGACCGACTCATGAGCGTCGTCATCCTCATATTCAGACAGGCATCCACCGCCTCGTTCCCTATTCAGATATAGCGAACATCTTGCGGTCTCCGGCTGAAAGGCTAAAGGAGCCCAGAGTTCAGCCATATATCGCTCCGTCATCTTTATTTGATGACGCGAAGCTCATTTACAGGCCCATCGGCCATATATCGCTCTGTCATCTTTATTTGATGACGAAGAGCTCATCTACAGGCCCATTGGCCATATATCGCTGTGTCATCTTTATTTGATGATGAAGAGCTCATTTGCAGGCCCATCGGCCATATATCGCTCTGTCATCTTTATTTAATGACGAATAGCTCATCTACAGGCCATCGGCCATATATCGTTCTGTCATATTTATTTGATGACAAGGAACTCATTTGTAGGCCTCTGAGCCACATCTTGCTCCGTCATCTTTATTTGATGACATGAAGCTCAGTTGCAGGCCCATCAGCCATATATCGCCTCGTCATCTTTATTTGATGATGTGAAGCTCATTTACAGGCCCCTCGGCCATATCTCGCTCTGTCATCTTTATTTGATGACGCGAAGCTCATTTACAGGCCCATCGGCCATATATCGCTCCGTCATCTTTATTTGATGACGCGAAGCTCATTTACAGGCCCATCGGCCATATATCGCTCTGTCATCTTTATTTGATGACGAAGAGCTCATCTACAGGCCCATCGGCCATATATCGCTCTGTCATCTTTATTTGATGACGAAGAGCTCATCTACAGGCCCATCGGTCATATATCGCTCTGTCATCTTTATTTAATGACGAAGAGCTCATCTACAGGCCAATCGGCCATATATCGCTTATGTCATCTTTATTTGATGATGAAGAGCTCATCTACAGGCCCATCGGCCATATATCGCTTCGTCATCTTTATTTGATGACGCGAATCTCATTTACAGGCCCCTTGGCCATATCTCGCTCTGTCATCTTTATTTGATGACGAAGAGCTCATCTACAGGCCCATCGGCCATACATCGCTCTGTCATCTTTATTTGATGACGAAGAGCTCATCTGCAGGCCCATCGGCCATATATCACTTCGTCATCTTTATTTGATGATGTGAAGCTCATTTACAGGCCCATCGGCCATATCTCACTCTGTCATCTTTATTTGATGACGTCGAGCTCATCTACAGGCCCATCGGCCATATGTCGTTCTGTCATCTTTATTTGATGACGTAGAACTCATTTGTAGGCCTCTGAGCCATATCTCGCTCTGTCATCTTTATTTGATGACGTGGAGCTCTCATCCGGGCACCTCGGCCATGCATCGCCCCGTCATCTTTAAGTGATGACATGGAGCTCATCATACCGGCCACTAAGCCGCCTCTCCGGATCATCTTTATTTGATGGCTTGAACTTCTTATAGGCCTCTCGGTCACACGTCTCGGTCACTTTATTTGATGACCCGGACATCACATTATGGACGGTCACTCGACCTATCTCCTAGTCATCTTTATTTGATGACTAGGACTACTTATCATGCCGAGCTACTCACATCTAGAGACTGGTCTCGGCCATCCCCTCAGCAGACAGACACCGTTGCAGCTCCACACCTAGGCCAAAGGGCTCACCCCTTTTGCTTCATTTTGGGGGCCTCCGGTGTACTCTTTTTCCCTCATTAGGATTTTTTCCCATAGGGTTTTTTCCTAATGAGGTTTTTAACGAGGCATCTCCCCATTGTGGATCAAAAGGCGTCGACCCTCGGCTCCCTATTGAAGACATCAAGCGACACGCACTACTCTACTCCTCTTTACCTCACTACATTCACCTCAAGGAGTGGGGGACTGGAAGAGCGGGGGACTTAGCGCCTCCGTTAACCAAAGAAGCAGAAATTCAAAATTTTTCACGAAGTTTACTCATCAGACGATAGATCAGCACACAGTTCTACTCCCTTTCGCCTCGAGTACTCTCGACTCAGGGAGTGGGGGACTCCTGATGGAGTATATAGACTCGGCCCCCCGGGTCTCACGACTATTGGGCCCGGACAGCGGCCCACACACGCTTATCGGACGTCATTTATATCATTTGTATTATTGTAGAGTTCATATATCATTTGTATATACCAGATTAGCCTTTTATGTAGTTGGGCTTATCGGGCCTATATTAGCGGCCCGACCCATTATTTCTCTATTTATACTCCATTTAGAGCTTGTAAACCCTAGGTCACAACACAATTCTAAGTCTCAATACCACTATTCATTCATCTTCTCCACATTCTTGAGCTCAAATCTCTCCATTTATTATATAGATTGGATCCCTATAATCCATCATTACTATTTTCTTCTTTTCTCTTGTATTTCTTGTTGGGTAGGTGAAGACCAGAAAACCATCTCCCTAGATTTTGGTCCTCAAGCAGCGGAATGAACCGTCCAATTCCTAGATCTTGGAACCGAGGCGCGCAGTGGAGGACCTAGGGAGGGGCCTACGGGGGTAAGTGCCCCCGCTTTCGGCCAGTAATTTCACTACTAGTATTTAGAGTTAAATCAGTGCCCCGCTTCCGGCCAAGAATTTCACTACTAGTGTGCCTCTACTCTGACAAATTTCTGGGTCCGCCACTGGAGGCGCACTTGTATTCTGCTCTAAGCACCGAAATCAAAGGTATGGATGAAGAAACTCATGTGATTACTCCTCTTCGTGTAGGCGTATGCCGTTCTGTCAGATGTTTATCTAAGTTGTCTAGTCTATCCAAAGATGGATCCTCCATTTCAGTTGAAGGTTCCGACAAAGAGGACGATGTTGTCAGCCTGGATGGGGAGACGGACATGCAGCGAGCTCCTGAAGGTTGTCTTTCAATTTCTTTGGTTAACCCTATCTCGGATTTGCCACCTACCATTACAGGTAATCCATTCACATTTGTTATTATTTTATGTGACTGCTGTTTTGATTTCTCGCATTTTCACACGCCCTGAATTTCGTTCAGCTGCATCTTCAAGCACCGGTATTCGTAAGCCTTTGAATCCTCTCGACCTTGCTCACTTGTCATTAAAGAGGAAAAGAATGGCTACTCCTTCTTCTTCTGTTGTTAAGACAACATCTGTGCCCAATTGCTCTGTGCTTAAGTCTCGTGCTTCCCTGATTGCTGGTACCCAAACCGTGCCCCCTGTCAAGTCGAATGCTGAGTTCTTTGGTGATTTTTGTCGTTTGGACAATGTCTTACGAATGAGGAAAGATATGCCCCAAATCTTACTGCCTACTGTCAAGATTGTATATTCTGATTTTTCTTTTGTTGATATGCTTTCCGCCTCTTCTGCGTTTGCATTTCAGGTTTGTGTACTCTTCTTACCTTGTACTTTGTGTTCTTTATAAGATAGCTTGCTTACATATTTTTATCAGGGAATCTAAGCCTCTTTATATGCTGAAGAGCGCTTACGAGATTTGGAAGAGTCGCTGGCAGCTTCCAAACAACGCCAGGAAATTGCTGAGAAGAAATTGTCCGAGAAGGTTTCGAAACTGGACGAGAAAGTTCTTGCTCAAGAAGAAAATATCAACCAGCTGAATGTGGAGATAGAGTCTCTAGATGTGAATCTGAAGACTCAAACTGCCAGGATCAGATCGTTAGAGGACTACGAGAGGAAGAAAAGGCAGGAGGTCGTTGACACTGCTGAGTTCTACGCTTGGCAAACCAAAAAGGATATCATGATATCTTTTTTGGCAGGTTAAACCGACAAATGGACCCCTCAGACTGACATTGATACTTGGGCCATGTATTTCCAAGGAACCGAACCTCCTGTAGGTGATGATGGATTTGACTTGGGCATTTGCAACACCGAAGCTGATTCTGGTCCCTCCAACCAGATATGATCCTGTATCCATGTAGTTGTTTATCTTTCTGCGTGGACATCTTCCTTTTGCTGGTCTGTTTTTTACTTGCTACTCATCACATTTTGGGCCACACCAACTGGTGGTTTATCCAGTGTTCGGTGGTCCTGTTTTGACATCGACTTATGCCTTTTGTGACACTCCGGTCATTTCATATGTCGGAGTTTTTATGTGCAATTGATTCGGATGACGTTATTTGTGTATATATGTTTGTCGTTTTGTGTGTCGGCTGTTTTTTGTTTCGGAAGTCGTTGATGATGTAAGTACATCTGTCATTTTGGCCAAAATGTGTGAGGGGTATGGGTTTGTCTTTCATATTTTCTATATGAATCACCCTTACCGACCTCACTGTCCCATTTTATGTTGTTAGGGATTGCGTGTAAGTGCCTTCTGTCAGCACGTTTGGAGTTAGTAGCAATATTTGTCAATGTCTTTATCGTGTGGTCATCCTGCATGGCATCATGCTGTCGGAGTCTGGCCGTTGGCTTTTGGCCAACGACCCTCCGATGCCTAAGTTAGTAATCTGAGGATTTAAGTAAATATGTAATAATAATTGCATTTAAAGAAATGATGGTTAGTTAAACGATAACCGATTACGATTTGAATAAGTAGATGCCTGAATTTAGTAAGTCTTTGGTAGCTGATCCCTTATTCGAATAATACCTGAAATGCATCATCTATTCTCTTCATTTCTATTGCCTGCTGTCGACATCTGTCTATAAATTAGTTTGGCCGTTGGCTTCCCAACGGCCCTCCGACGGTCAAGTTAGTAAAGTGGTCAAAAAGATTGTAATTTGGTAATCACGTAAAACTGAATTAGAAATGAAAGGGTTTTAGGTGTACTGCATTCCAGCTCCTTGGAATTTGCTTACTGTCAGCGGATTCCAGACGATATGCCCCCTGTTCTATGATGTCGGCGATCTGGTAGGGGCCTTCCCAATTGGGACTAAATTTGCCACTAGCTTCGTTGCCGAATGACTTCCTGAGCACCCAGTCGCCTTTCCTGAATGCCCTGACTCGGACATGTTTGTTGTAGCTTTTCGCCACCTTTTGTTGATATGCGGCCATCCGTATTCTCGCCTTTTCCCTTAGTTCGTCGATGGTGTCAAGATCATGTACTAACTCCACGTTGTTCTTTTCTTCTCTTGGGATGACTGCCTCGCAGCCATATACCGGGGAGAAAGGTGTCTGACCAGTTGCATTTTTTGGTGTCGTCCTATCTGCCCACAAAATCATGGGTAACTCCTCAGCCCATCTTCCTTGTTTGTTCTCAAGCCGCTTTTCAAGTTTGCCACAATGATTTTATTGCTTGACTCGGCTTGCCCATTTGATTGTGGATATCTAGGTGTCGACATCACCGGCTTGATGTTATATGCTTCACAAAATCGTCTCGTCTTGGAACTGATGAATTGCAAGCCATTGTCGCACACAATTTCTGACGGGATACCAAATCGGCTCAAGATGTTCCTTTTGATAAAAGATATGACGTGGACGTCTTTAATTTGACGAAAAGGTTTAGCTTCAATCCACTTTGAGAAGTAGTCCATCATTGCTAACATGTAGACCTTCTGGCCAGGTACTTCTGGCAGTTTTCCGATAATATCCATTCCCCACTTCATGAACGGCTATGGTGACAATATTGGATGAAGTGCCTCCGAGTGTTGGTGATGAATGGGTGCGTGCCTTTGACAAGGTAGACACGTTCGAGTGTAGACGACATCATCTTGTCTCATAGTTGGCCAATAATAGCCAAATCTTAGTGCCTTGTTGGACAAACTCCTGCCAGCAACGTGGTTGCCGCACTCCCCTTCATGGAGACTTTTGAGAACATTGTTGGCCTCGTGCGATGTTAAGCATTTTTGGTATGGACCTGCAATTGAACGCTTAAACAGAACGCCGTCAATTAGTTAAAATTTTGTTACCTTATATAGGAGTGCCCTTGCTTCCCGTTTGTCGGCTGGCAGAATGTTGTACTTCAGGTAGTCGACATATGGTTTCATCCAGTTATTGTCTGCATCTGATTCAACGGTGTTGACAGATTTGGGTTTGTCGATGGCCGACCTCATCAGGTGAATAAATGGTATGTTGTCATCGCATTCGGCTCCTAGGCATGATCCCACTGCTGCTAGAGCATCTGCCTATGTGTTGTCCTCTCTTGGGATTTGTTGAAAAGTGATCTCGTCGAAAAAGGCCGACAATTCCATGACGACTTGTAAGTACACCGTCATCTTTGGATCCTTAGCTGCATAAACTCCGTTAGTTTGATTAATAATTAAAAGGGAGTCACAGTTTACCTCAAGTGCTTTTATGCCCAGGTCTTGTGCTAAGTTTAGCCCGAAGATTAGTGCTACACACTCCGCTTCATTATTTGTTGCGTTGAATTCACAACGGACAGCTTGCCGGATGATGCCCCCTTGTGGCGACTTCAGGACAACTCCCAATCACGCCCCTCTGCATGTTCGAAGCTCCGTCAGTATGTAATACCCATTTCTGTCGAGATGGTCCTTCTATGAGTAGACAAGTTTCCTTTTCAGCTTCCACTTGCAACTTAGGGCTCAAGTCTGCCACAAAATCGGCTAACCATTGTGACTTGAGAGCTGTCCTTGGCTCGTATCTGATGTCGTACGCTCCCAGCTGTATTGACCACTTCGCCATCCAACCTGTTAATTTGGGCTTCCTCATGATTGACTTAATGGGATAGTTAGTGCGGACACAGATACTATGTGATTCAAAATAAGGGCGTAATTTAAGGGAAGCGGTAACTAAAGCTAACACTAATTTTTTAAAAAGTGTGTACCTGGACTCCGTTCCATTTAGTGACTTACTGATGTAGTAGACAGGAATTTGCTATCCTTCTTCTTCTCTGGTCAGGACTGCACTGACGACATGTTCTGATACGCCCAAGTACAATTGCAGCTCTTCGTCGTTTTTAGGTTTGGCCAACAGAGGAGGAGTTGTCATGTACTTCTTTAATTGTTGGAGTGCTTACTCATGTTGGTCTGTCCACTCGAACTTCTTATTCTTTCTGAGGACGTCATAAAACAGGTGGCATTTGTCTGATGAATTTGATATAAAGCGGTTAAGGGCAGCAACTCGTCCAATCAGTCTCTGAACATCTTTGATGGATTTGGGCGACTCAATGTCGAGGATGACTCGAACTTGTTGTGGGCTTGCTTCAATTCCTCGCTCACTGACAATATAGCCCAAAAATTCTCCTGAGGTCATCCCGAAGGTGCATTTGGCGGGGTTGAGCTTCGGATTGTATTCTCTTAGTTTTTTGAACGACTCGCGCAGGTGGTCGACATGATCTTCTGTCTTCTTCGACTTCACTAACATGTCATCGATGTAGATTTGCATGGTTTTTCCCAGTTGGTCTTTGAACATCATCGTCACGAGCCTCTGGAAGGTTGCACCTGCATTTTTCAAACCAAAAGGCATAACGATATAGCAATACGTACCTGTTTCCGTGATGAAAGTCGTCTTCTCTTGATCATCAGGATGTAATTGAATCTGATGGTAGCCGCTGAATGCATCCATGAATGACAACATCTCATGTCATGCCGTCGCGTCTGCTAATGCGTCTATGTGCGGCATTGGGAAAAAATCTTTCGGGCATGCTTTATTAAGATCAGTGAAGTCGACGCATACTCGCCACTTTGCTTTATTTCCCTTCTTTTTCCCTTACCTTTTTTGTACGACGACGACATTTGCCAGCCATTCTAGATATTTGACTTCCCGAGCCTTTCCGGTGCGCAGCAGTATCTCAATCTCCTGATTGACTATCTCGTTCCTTTCTCTGGCGAACCGTCTCCTTCTCTATCTGACGGGTTTGTGTGATCTGTTGACGTTTAGTCTGTCAGTGATGATTTTTGGATCAACTTCCGTCATGTCGTCGTGGCTCCATGCAAAAACATCTTTATGCTCCTTGAGGAAGTTAATGAGTTCACCCTTTAGGTGTTCTGGCACACTTCTCCCAATGCAGACGACCCGTTCCGGATGATCAGGATCGATGAAGACTTCCTTTGTTCTGTCATCATCATCCTCTTCTAGAATGGCATCGCCCTTTAATTGCTATGCTGAGGTGGCTGGTGTTGCAGTGGACTTCATTGCTGTTTGGTAACATGACTTTGCAGCTGTTCTGTCTCCTTGAATTGACTGTAGTCCCCATGGTGTTGGAAATTTAACGACTTGATGATAGGTGGACGGAATTGCCCCCATTTGGTGCAGCCAGGGTGTTCCCAGTATCATGTTGTAGACGGGTAACTCTTGGACCACATCAAACTTGACCTGCAAATTGAGACCATTTGTATATACGGGTAAGGACACATTAGCTAGAGTGCGGCTGGGCTCTCCATTGAAGCCGATCAAGGTTGATCCACAACTCGCCATGTCTTCTTCCCTATAACCTATCTATTCCAACATCTTCATCGTAGTGATGTTTGCGGTACTCCCGTTGTCGACAAGGACTCGACGTACTTCGCAGTTTGACACTTGGAGCGAAATAACTAGGGCATCATGATGGACGTCAACTGGGTCCATTTTATCAGACTCGTCGAAGGTAATAGATACATTCTTCCAGTCCTCTTCGCGCTTGGCTATTCGACATACCTGTGACGACTTGTCTCGGGGTATTCCCGAGCGTGTCTCTTGGCTGCAGAATACGTTAGTCCCAATACTTCAGAACCACCATTAATAAAGTTTATTACCTTGTGAGGGGCAGAAGGCGACGGTGGTCATTGTCCAGATGTCGTCGGCATCGGATCTCGGTGCAGGAGGGACTTGGTCTGTTCAGACATTATCTCTGTCAGATATCCATTTCGCAGGAGATATGCGACCTCCTTCCTTAAAGCGACACAGTCTTCGGTGTTATGGCCGATGTCATCATGAAAATCACACCTCTTGCTGGGATCTCGTCGTCCTCCTGATTTCTCAGATTTCCTGAGCCAACAGACCTTCTCCCCTATTTTGTCTAAAGAATTAATGAGTCCCGCGGTGTCGACATCGAAACAATAATCCGCTATCAATGGCGGCAGATCTGGATCATCGTGCCAGCTAGTTAATGACGCCACTTGTCGATCTTCACTTTTGGTGTAAGGCTTCCCCGCTCGGTACTCGTGCCTTTTGGATGAACTTGCTCTTCTGTGTCCCTCCTTCATAACCCTCGGGCCGTTGACGAGACTGTTGGTCTTCT